GTTTGCAAAAAGAGCACAGTTTCATTAACTCATTGTCTATCCTGATTCCCTCTATTCCTTTTCTTTTCCATCTCATTGCTATTGCTAGGACTTCCAATATACTATTGAATAATATTGGTGACAGTGGGCATCCTTGTTTCACACCTGTTCTTACTTCTACCTTAATCCCATCACAAATACTGCTTGCTGATGGTTTTCGACACTTTTTAACAATTTAAGGAAAAATCTATTTATACATACACTTTCAAGTGTTTTTAATAGAAATGAGTGTTGCACTATTGCAAAAGTTTTTTCTGCATCTATTAACATAATCACATAATTTTGTTACTTTTGTTATTTATATAATCAATTGTATTAATAGTTTTCCTTATGTTAAACTATCCCTGCATTCCTGGTATAAATCTCACTTGGCTGCCGTGTATAATGTATAATGTATAATCTCCTAGCTACAATTTTATTTAGGATTTTTGCATCCATATACATTAATGAAATTGATCTATAATTTTCTTTTTCATTTTTTTACTCGTCCTGGTGTAGGTATCAGCGCATATTTATTTCATAAAAGGAGCCTGGTAGGATCCCTTCTTTGCCTATCATTTCAAAGAATTTATTTAATATTGGAATTAGTTGGTCTTTAAATGTTTGATAGAAGTCACTTGTAAATCTATCTGGTTCTGGTGCATTTTTCTCTTTATTTATTTATTTAATTTAGTTTTCTCTCTTTTTTTGTCTAGGCAATGGGGTTAAGTGACTTGCCCAAGGTCACACAGCTAGTAAGTGTTAAGTGTCTGGGGCCCTGTTTGAACTCGGGTCCTCTGGACTCCAGAGGTGGTGCTCTATCCACTGCGCCACCAGGCTGCCCCTTGGTGCTTTTTTTCTTAAGAAGCTCATTTATGGCCTGTTTAATTTCTTTTCTAAAAATAGGTCTGTTCTGATATTCTATTTCCTCTTCCGCTAATCTAGGCAGTTTATATTTTTGTAAATATTCTTCCATTCTACTAAAATTGTTAAATTTATTGGCATACAACTGGGCAAAATAACTCCTAATAGCGGTTTTGATTTCATCTTCATTGGTGGTATGTTTACTCTTTTCTTTTTTAAAAAAAATTAATTTAGTTTCAGTTTTCAACGTTCACTTCCATAAGATTTTGAGTTTTAAATTTTCTCCACCTCCTTCCCCTACCTCTTACCCAAGACAGTGTGCAACCTGATATAGGCTCCACATATACATTCATATTAAACATATTTTCACATTAGTCATGTCGTAAAGAAGAATTAGAACCAATAGGAGAAACCATGAGAAAGAAGAAACAAAAAAAAGAGAGAGAGAGTAAATAGTGTGCTTTGATCTGCATTTATACTCCACAGTTCTTTCTCTGGATGTGGATAGCATTTTCCATCATGAGACCTTTGGAGATGTCTTAGATCCTTGCATTGCTGAGAAGGGCTAAGGGCTTCAAAGGGGTAAGTCTATCAAAGTTAGTCATCTCACAACGTGGCTGTTACTGTGTACAACATTCTCCTGGTTCTGCTCACTTCACTCAGCATCAGTCCATACAAATCTTTCCAGGTTTTTCTGAAGTCTGCTTGCTCATCATTTATTTTTTTAAATTAATTTATTTTGCTTTATCAACAATCACTTCCATTAGCTTTTGAGTTTTAAATTTTTCTCCCCCTCTTTCCCCACCTCCCTCCCCAAGAAGGCATGCAATCTGATATAGGCTATACATATACATTCCTATTAAACATATTTTCACCTTAGTCATGTTGTAAGGAAGAATTAGAACCAATTGGAGGAATCACCAGAAAGAGGAAACAAATCATAACAGAAGAAAAAAAAATAGCAAATAGTATGCTTCGATCTGCATTCGAACTCCATAGTTCTTTCTTTGGATGTGGATAGCATTTTCCATCATGAGGCCTTTGGGGATATCTTAGATCCTTGTATTGTTGAGAAGGGTTAAGTCTATCAATATTAGTCATTGTACAATGTGGCTGTTACTGTGTACAACGTTCTCCTGGTTCTGCTCACTTCACTCAGCATCAGACCATACAAGTCTTTCCAGGTTTTCCTGAAGTCAGCCTGCTCATCATTTCTTATAGCACAGTAGTATTCCATTACATTCATATATCTCAACTTGTTCAATTGATGGGTATACACCTTTTCATTTTTAATACTAGGGACTTGGATTCTCCTCTCTCTCTTTTTCTGTCATATTAACCAATGGTTTATCAGTTTTTTAAAAATAAACTTTTAGTTTTATTAATTCAATGGTTCTTTTTTCTTTTTTTAAAAAAATATTTATTTTTAGTTTTCAACATTCACTTTCATAAGTTTTGGAGTTTCAAATTTTCTGTGCCTCCCTTCCCTCTGTTGTTTCCTCTTTAACCCAGATATGATGAGAGTAAGGTGCCAGCCCTCCACCTGTTTCCTTTGTATCAGTTATTCCTTTCATGCCTCATTTGAATGAGATAATTACTCCTTTTCACCTTTTCCTACCCACTTTTGTTTTTTAGAATCTCCTCATACTCAGGTGGGCCCCAACCTTTCTTTCAAACTACCCAAGTAATAATGATAGTCTTAAGAATACTGATAACATTTTTATATATCAGAGGTAAACAGTTTGACCTTATTGAGGCCCTTATAATTGGTCTTTAATGTTTACCTTATATTTCTATTCGATTTTATATGTCAATTTTTCCATTGAGTTCTGCCCTTTGTGTCACAAATGCTTGAAAGTCTTTCAGTCTGCTAAATGTCCATTTTTTTCTATTCAGAATTATACTAAACTTTGCTGGATAAGTTATTTTGCAACCCCAGTTATCCTGCTCTTCAAAATACAATGTTTCAAGACCTATGGTCTTTTAGTGTAGAGGCTGCTATGTCTTCTATAATCCTGATTGTAGTTTCACAGTATTTAAAATTTTTTCCCCTTGTTGCAGTATTTTCTCCTTAACCTGGAAGCTTTTAAACTTGGCTATGGTATTTCTGTAAGTTTTTAGCCTGGGATCTCTTTCAGGTCATGATTGGTGGAGTTTTTCTACTTCTACTTTACCCTCTTGTTCTAGAACTTCAGGGTAATTTTCCTTAATAATTCCTTATAATATAATATCAAGATTCTTTTTTTTTATTATAACTTTCAGGTAGTTCAATAATTTTTATATTGTCTCTCCTTGATCTAGTCTCCAAATCAATTGTTTTTCTAATGAGATGTCACATTCTTTTCTATTTTTTCATTCTTTTGATTTTGTTTTATTATTTCTTGGTGTCTTATACATTATTCTCTTCCTTAAGTTCTTGGATCTCTTTTTCCAATCGGTTCACTCTCTTTTCATAATTTTCTTGATTTTCTTGGATTGCTCTTATCCCCCCCTAACTTTCCCTCAATCTCTCTCTCTCTCTCTCTCTCTCTCTCTCTCTCTCTCTCTCTCTCTCTCCTCTCTCTCTTTTAAGGCAATTGGGGTTAAGTGACTTGCCCAGGGTGACACAGCTAGTAAGTGTCAAGTGTCTGAGGCCCGATTTGAACTCAGGTCCTCCTGACTTCAGGGCTAGTGCTCTATCCATTGTGCCACCTAGCTCCCCTCTTCAATCTCTCTTATTTGATTTTTGAAGTCCTTTTTAAGTTCTTCCAAGAACTCTTTTTGGGCTTGTGACCATTTGATGTTTCTCTTTGGGGTAGGAGTGGCTTTTTTTCTTTTTACTTCATTATTTTCCTCTGAATATGAACTCAGATCTTTTCTGTCCCCATAGTAGTGGTCTATGGTTGGGTTATTTCTCCTTTGCTTGCTCATTTTTATTTTGTTTTATTTTATTTTAGCATCTTATTATTGTAATCAGGTTCTAGTTCTGAGGTGTGGGTAATGGTGCCGCAGGCTTCAGGTCCTTCTTGCTGTTATTTTCTGAACTCTGTCTGGGGACCCAACCTCAGGCAGTTCTCTCCACCTCTGAGCCATGGCTAGGGCCCCCAGCCATGCTGTCCCACAAATACTCTTGTTCTCTGTGGCCCTTCCCAAAGCTGCAAACTCCAGCTCTCCTCTCTTCCCTGGAATGGAAACCAGGGACTCCATTTTCCTGGAAGTTCCCACAGCCAGTTGGAAACCCCCCTAACCCTGCTAGCACTGCACTCATTGGGAGTGTGCTAGCTCCTTTTGCTCACAGCCAGTCCTGGGACTGTATCTGGTCAGCACAACCGTGCCTGGCATCCTGAGATAGCGGAGGATCCTTCCTCTACTCAGCTGTCCATCCTCCACACTGTGAGGTGAAATTTCCTGATGCTGAGCTTCAGTGGAGTTGTTTGGACTTCTGTCTAGCCAAACCTCCACCCTTGGAGGTCTAGTCTTTACCGAGGTCCTCTCAAGCCGTCATAGGAGGACACCTTCCTTACCTTGACTTTTATTTATTTTTGCCCCTCTATGTTCACTTTGAGGTGATGCTCTGTCTTGTTTGTGGAGGAAATTTGGTGAGCCTGGAACTTTTCTGCCCTATTCCACCATCTTCCCAGAATCCTCTCCCTATCCCCAATTTATCCTGTACTATCTTGTTTGTACATATTTATGAGCATGTTATCTTCCCTATGAGACTCTGGGCTCCTTGAGCAGGGATTTTTTTCTTTTTTGCCTTTCTTTGTATCTCTAGCACTTCACATAGTGCTTGGCACATAGCAGCTACTTAAAAAATGCTAGTTGACTGACTGACTGTTACAGCAGTGATCAAGAATTTGAATGGAAAATGGGGTCAGGGTTCACTTCTCTGCATGAGTTTAAGTGATGAGGTCCAAGGAACTAAGTCCCAGGACTCCTTCACATCTTGTAGGAGATAGGAGGCGACTGGGGAAGGGGGGAGGTGGTGAGGTGGAATTGTGTTCAGGCATTGTTGGGCTGAGCCATGGCAGAGTAGGAGTTGGTAACAGGTAGGTTGGGGTTGGTTGGCTAGAAGGCAGATGTGCCAGCACTTGGATACCCAGCAGTCTCATACAGTCCATTTTTCCTGTCCCCAACAGGCTGCCTACTTGCTTCCTGCACAATGTTCTGGGTAAGCAGAGCAAGGCTGTTAGTCTTCCTGGTGCTCCCATCTCTAGCTTTCCTCTTCTTCCAGCAGTTGTCCAGCCCCAGTCACTGTCCTGACGTAGCAGAGAAGTCAAGCCCTACACATGTGTTGATCTTGTCCTCGTGGCGCTCTGGCTCCTCCTTTGTGGGCCAGCTCTTCAGCCAGCACCCAGATGTCTTTTACCTGATGGAGCCAGCCTGGCATGTGTGGATGACCCTCTCCCTTGGCAGTGCTGGGCAGTTGCAGATGGCCGTGAGAGACTTGATTCGTTCAGTCTTTCTCTGTGACATGACTGTCTTTGATGCTTACATGGCCCAGGGTCCAAGGAAACAGTCCAGCTTCTTCATGTGGGAAACTAGTAGGGCTCTGTGTTCCCCACCTGCATGCCATCTCTTTAATAGAGAGGCCATCATCCCCTCAGCTGACTGTAGGATCCTGTGTGGCAAGCAGCCCTTCAACATGGTAGAAGAAGCCTGTAAGTCCTACAGTCATGTGGTGCTCAAGGAGGTGCGCTTCTTCAACCTGATGACCCTCCAGCCACTGCTGACCGACCCCTCCCTCAACCTGCACATCATTCACCTTGTGCGAGACCCCAGGGCTATGTTCCGCTCTCGGCAAAACACAGAACTGGAGCTGATGCACGACAGCCATGTTGTCATGGGGAAGCAGTGGAATAAAATGAAGAGTGAGGACCGGCCCTATCACTTGATGCAAGCCATCTGCCAAAGCCAACAGGAGATCTATAAGGCGGCACAGTTGTTACCAGACTCCCTACGAGAACGCTACCTGCTAATACGCTATGAGGATGTGGTGCGGGACCCACTGACCCAAACTTCCAAACTATATGAATTTGCAGGGTTACCCTTCCTGCCTCATCTCCAAGTCTGGGTGCAAAACATCACACAGGGCAAGGGCATGGGAGGGAATGCCTTTGACACAAACTCCAGGAATGCCCAAAGTGTCTCCCAGGCCTGGCGTTGGGCCTTACCACATAACAAGGTAGTCCAGTTACAGAAAATTTGTAAAGATATCATGAATCTGATGGGTTACCTTCCTGTGTTGTCTGAGAAAGACCAGAGAAATTTATCAACGAATCTTCTATCTCCTCCTGAGATCCCCTAAAGCTGAGCAACCAATGAGTTGAATGAGGGTCTGGTTTTGTGCAATGGCTATGGTCAGCTGAATGCTGTTGGGTCTAACTATGTTTCTCTATGGGTATACATGTGAACATGCTGTTGTATGTGACTGCATGTGACCAAAGGACACTCTGCTTCCTGACTCTATGCCTTGGCACTGGCTTCCTCCTTGCATGGAATGTGTCCCTCTTTACATCTGCCTCTGAGCATCCCTGGGCTTCCTAAAAATAGCTCAAGCCTCACTTTCTGAAGGAGATCCTTCCAGATCCCTCAAGTAGTTAGTACCTTCCCCTCCAAGGGTGCCTTGTATCTACTTTGCAGGTATACACACACACACACACACACACACACACACACACACACACACACACAAACTGAAGGCCCTAGTAGTATGTTTTTTCCACCCACTGTGCCTCAAGATTATGAGATGAAAATCCTTTTAGTCAGCCAGCTTTAAGCAGCTTTTTGTTGTAGTTATTGTTGTTAAGTTGTTTCAGTCTTGTCCAACTCTATATGACCCCATTTAGGGTTTTGTTGGCAAAGATCCTGAAGTAGCTTGCCATTTCCTTCTCCCACTCCTTTTACACATGAGGAAACTGAGGCCAACAGGGTCACACAGCTAGGAGGTGTCTGAGGCTGCATTTGAACTAGGAAGATGAGTCTTCCTGACTCCAGGCTTGGGGTGCTCTATGCACCATGGTGCCCTCTAGTACCCTAGCTGATTTTGGGGTGGGGGAGATACTTACAAAGGTGGAACAATAGCAACAGTTGGCCAGGTCTGTGACTCACTGTGCCCCCAGTACATTTAGAGGGCAGGGGAAAGTGGGCCCAAGCTTAGAAAGCATATGTGGCCAGGGGGTGGCAAGGCTCCTGATTGCTGGGAGTCCTTTCCCCACATCTGTGGGGGGTTCAAGAAGTTCCCCTTGGGCACGGTGTAGTTCCTTTGATAGGCTCCTGGTGGAGCCATAAATCTCTGTCCTTTCTGTCCTTGGCTGATCCAGGGATCAGGCTGGGCCCCAGTGGATGGCCAACATGCTCCTGGTCCTTCTAGTTGCTTACAGAGGCCCTCCTGCAGCCAAAGGATTGGGGTGTGGAGGAGAACTAGGCCAAGGCTGAAGCCTGAGCCTCTTGTTTCCTCTCCCCTCCCCCACCTCGCTTCTTCCTCAGACACTTTACTGCCATGCCAGGCTTGCTACCATTTCTCCAATCACTCTGGTTCTCAGTTGGCATGATGATTTACAGAGAACCACTGGGGCATGGTCAACTTTGCTCAGCCCGTCTGAATGGGACTCCTATGCAAGGTCACTCCTAAAACCTATGACTGAAACTGATTGATTGGACACGTAAACAGAGGTTGGGCTCTCTGCCTAACCTGACATCAATATCTATTTTCATTTCTTCTCTGGCTTCTTTGCGTCTCAGGGAAATTTTCATTTTCTAGGAACATCTGGTAACAAAATATCAGATTGTATTATAGTGTCTATGGATAGACAGGCATTGGGAGTGGAAGCTGGAGGAAAGAGCTGACTTTTTCTTGGGTTTTTCTTCATCCTGCGTCCTCCACTCTGAGATGCCTGTGAAAACCAAAGCCTCTTCAATATCTCCCATCTCTGGCACAGCTCAGTCCTTCTTTGGTTCCTCAAAGGTGTACAGAAATGCCATGCTTGCTCCAACCTCCCAAATCTAGGCTGTCAGAAACTCTCTCAGTTCTGAGACAGCTTCTTTCTTTTATAATATTAATAGCTAATATTTATACAGTATTTGCTATGTACCAGGCACTGTGCTAAGTGCTTTGCAATTGCAATCTAATTTGCTACTCACAACAACTCTGGGAGTTAGGTGCTATTATTATCTCCATTTTCCAGATGAGGAAACTGAGGCAAACACAGCTAGTGAGTGTCTGAAGCCACATTTGAACTCAGGTATTTCTGATTCAAGATCCAGCACTTTATCTTCTGGGCCACCCAGCTGCCCCTACAATTTAAATAAATTGCTTTGGGCTTTGATGCTGTCTCCCACAGGATAGCTTTGATTGATTCAAGGAAGTGCATGTGAGCTGTTCACATTCAAGTTGTGTTATCTGATTCCATCAAAAGATTTCAGAGCTGAAAATTTCAGACCCACCCTTACATATGTGATGTAAAAACATTTTATATAATAAGCTTGTAAAGAGTCCCCATCTTAAATTTTCTTCTGTTTCTTGCTCAGCATTGGACTTGGCATCCCATTACTGGAACTGTGGTGCTCAGAATGTAGTAGTAAGGGCTATTCATAAGCTCAGGTAAGCTCGGCTTAATAGATATCTCAGATGAGATTATGGAATTTGGAATTTATAAATGAAGCAAAGATTAGTGTGCCATTCATGCTTCCATAACTGGACTGACTGATATACCTCTTCTAACCTCAACTCTGGATGGAAAGTTATAGAAATAATTCTCTACTTGCCATATTCTTCTGAATAGGACCTAAGGAGAGGTTTAAATGTGGGCAGAAGATGATTCAGATCTGGACAAACTGGATATCTGCTCAGGACTCTGCATTTTATCATGTAACTTTTTTTTTCTGGGAAAGTGGATCTATTTTTTTGTAAAGAGGCATCTTTATCTACAGTGTAAGTGTTGCCCAGTGTATATAGTTGTCATACAAAGTTATGGCTGCTATTCAGTTCCATGATGAAAATTTCTGGGCTTGTTTTTTAAGGAAATTTTTAAAATAAAAGTATTGTTCTTTCATTTGTGAAAATCATCCATGACAGGTATAATTACAATGGCTTGACTTTTGATTCTAAATTATTTTGGTACAAAAACCTGTCCTTATATATTTATAATATATCTCTCAGTAAAACTAAACATACTAAGTGTTCAGAATGTTGGGCTGATGAAATACATTGTGTACTGTATTAATCTACCATGTAGTTTTAATTAAAAAAAAACCATACTGAATTATAAAATCATTAGTGTATCAAACTACTTTCAGAGATAATTCAGTTAAGAAGCATTTATTATTAGGAAGGAAATAAGCATTTATCAAGAGCTTATTAAGTGCCAGGCAGTGTGCTAAGCACTTTATAAATCTTAACTCATTTAACCCTCATAACAACTTTGAGAGGTGGGTGTTATTATTACCCCAATTTACAGTGTAGGAAACCGAGGCAGACAGATTAAAGTCACTTGACCAGACTCACCCAGTTAGTGTCTGAGGCCAGATTTGAACTCCGGAAGATGAGTCTTCCTGACTCCAGGCCTAGTGCTCTATCTACTGTGTCACTTTGATGCTTCAATATATTAAGTGCTTACTGTACTGAAGGTATCATGGTAAGGGGATAAAAAGGGAATAACTGCTCCTTTCCCTCAAGGCATTCACATTCTAATGTGGGAGTTAAAATATAAACAAAGATGTGCCCATAAGGTATAGATAGAGATAGAAGGTAATCTCTGAGGGGAGACAGTAGAGGGAAAGTTGGGAGTGGAGGGAGACTGAAGGCCTTCTACGGAAGGTGGGATTTGAGTGGAGTCCAGTAGAAAACCAGGGAAAGTTGAGGATGAAGTTTCCAGCCTGGCTGACTGGAAGGATAGTGATGTAAAATAAAAAGGACATTCAGATAAGGGGAAAGGTTTGTTTTAAACATATTGAGTTAAAAATGCCTACAGGACATCCAGTTCAAGATGTCCAAATGGAACCTGGTGCCATGGGACTGGAGCTTATAAGAGAGCCTGGGGACAGATATATAGATCTAGCAGTCACCAAATATGATGGAGATAATCATGGAACACAAGGAAACTGATGAGATCACTCAGTGAGATAATATAGAAGGGCTCAGGGCAGAGCTGAGGAGACAGAAACATCAAAGGTAAGTGGTTGTGATTTTTAGGATGATGCTGCAAAGGAGACTGAGGAGAGGTCAGCCAGGTCAGTCAGCCAATAAGCATTTATTTAGCAGTTACTATGAGCCAGACACTGCTAATCACTGTATACAAATATAAGCAAAAATACAGACAGTCCTCACTCTCCAGGAGTTTATATTCTAATCATTGAAGATAACTCATAAATAGGAGTTGAAAAGGGGTTAGAGATTACCTGGAATGGGACCATGGTAAACAAAGTCCTGTGAAGGAAGATGAGTCAGAAGTCCTGCCTGGAAAAGAATGCAGACAAGTAGGGATAGAAACATGAGAGCAGAATGTCCCTAGGAGCAAAGATGGTGGAGGGAAGCCAGGACGTTGCTTGAGCTCTCCCCAGTTTCCCTTGGAAAAATGTTAAATGAAGCCTATAAATGGATTCTACAGTGACAGACCCCTTCCCCCCAAAAAAGGCAGAGTGAAACAATTTTCCAGGTTAAGATAACTTAGGAGGACTTCAGGAAAGATCTGTCTCACTTGGGTAAAAGGGGAGAACAGCCCAGCACAGATGGTGCCTGGGAAAGCCAGTGGGAGGCTCTTAGCCACAGCACAGATCAGCGAGCAAGAGCCCTCAGTCCTGGCTCACTGCAGAAGGCAAATTGTGAGCCCTGCAACCCCACAACAACAGATGCAACTAGGCTCAGCTGCGAGCACCTGAGGCCCTGGTGTGGAAAGCCGCTGACCAGGCCCCTGATCCCTCAGCATAAGCTTAAGATAGTGCCCCCTGTGCCCTAGGAAGAGAACTGAAACTGGCTGGGGCAGCTAGGTGCACAGCGGATAGAGCACCGGCCCTGGAGTCAGGAGGACCTGAGTTCAAATCTGGTCTCAGACCAGCTGTGTGACTCTGGCCAAGTCACTTAACCCCAACTGCCTAAATAAATAAATAGAAAAATGAGTAAGAAACAGAAGAGGGCCCTGACCATAAAATACTATGGGAACAGAAGATCAAAACAGAAACTCAGAGGAGGACAACATCAAAATGTCTACATGTGAAGCCCCAAAGGGGAATACAAATTGGTCTCAAGTCCAAAAAGTCCTCTTAGAAGAGCTCAAAATGGATCTTAAAAATCAAGGAAGAAGTCAGAAAACCTGGAAAGTCTTGTATAGACTGACACTGAGTGAAGTGAGCAGAACCAGGAGAACATTGTACACAGTAACAACCATGTTGTACAATGATTAATGTTGATAGACTTAGCCCTTCTCCGCAATGCAAGGATCTAATACATCTCCAAAAGTCTCATGATGGAAAATTCTACCCACATCCAGAGAAAAAACTATGGAGTTCGAATAGAGATCAAAGATGGGGCAGCTAGGTGGCCCAGTGGATAGAGCACCGGCCCTGGATTCAGAAGGACCTGAGTTCAAATCTGGCCTCAGACACATAACACTTACTAGCTGTGTGACCCTGGACAAGTCACTTAACCCCACTGCCTAGCCAAAAACAAACAAAACAAAACAAAAACGAATAGAGATCAAAGCATACTATTTGCTCTTTTTTCCCCTTCTATTTTGTTTCTTCTTTTTTTTCTTTTTGATGGGGCAATTGGGGTTAAGTGACTTGCCCAGGGCCACACAGCTAGTGTCATGTGTCTGGGACTGGATTTGAACTCAGGTCCTCTTG